TGCATTTCGTCGCTGAGCGGTAAAGAAGACAAGCAGCCCTTCTCATCTGCCCCATCATGACAGCTACTATTCCAGAGGTACCCGGAAAGGTGCAGGCAGCCCCACCAACAAGGTCGGCTCCCCCTGTCAGGTCCTGTCCAGCCTGTGCATGCTGCAAGCTAGGCTTTGAGGGGAAAATAACCCATCCCCTGAAAATAAGCCCTAGGATGTCTTCTTGAGGAAAAACAAATATAAGATCCTGTCTTATTTTTTTTTTTATTAGAACATGATTTTTATTTCATCATATTATGGAGGTACAAATATTGTTAGGGTTACAAATATTGCTCTTGCCCCCTCCTTCCCCCCGAAATGTCCAATCCCCTGGTGGTGTGCATCATACACGTTATGGAAACATACATCCCTTTCCTCCTCCCCACTCCTGCCTGCCCACCACCTGCTAGAAGGTTTTTTTTGTTTGTTTGTTTTGTTTAACATTTTGGTTACATTGTATATCTTTGCCTCTCCCTAAGAAGGGTTCAAGTTTTGCCCTCCCCCTCCAGAATGCTCATCCCATCCCTAAGATTGGGTCCCCCCCCACCGAATCTTTGGTGGGTATTGCCACCATTTGAAAATTGAAGTTTAAATCAGTCAGTACCAATTTGATGGCGATAGATGTGGAGCCCATTTTCCAAGTCCTGTGTTGCCTCACTTTGGATAACAGGCTTAAGCTTAATCCAGGATAGCATAAATGGTGCTCGCTCACTGTCATTTCTTAGGATTGAGTAATATTCCATTGTGAGCATATACCACATTTTAACCATCCACTCATGAATTGATGGGCACCTGGGCTGCTTCCATGATCGTGCAATAGTGAATTGTGCTGCTATAAACATTCGGGTACAGATGTCTTTATAATAGAATGTCTTATGCTCTTTTGGGTAGATGCCTAACAATGCTATTGCAGGGTCAAATGGTATTTCTATTTCTAGCTGTTTGAGGTATCTCCAAATTCTTTTCCACAAAGGTTGCACTAATTTGCAGTCCCACCAGCAATGTAGGAGTGTTCCTGTCCCCTCAGATCCCGCCCAGCATTGGTGTTTTGGGATTTCTTGATATAGGCCATTCTTACTGGGGTTAGGTGGTATCTCATTGTGGTTTTGATTATTTCTCCTAATATTTAGAGAGGTTGAGCATTTCTTTATATGTTTGCATGCCATTATTCTGTCTTCTTGGAGAAGTTTCTTTTCATTTCGTCGCCATTTCTTGATGGATTGTTTGATTTTTCTTGTTAATTTTAAGCTCTAGATAAATTCTTGTTATAGGCCTTTATCAGAGATGTAGGCAAATATTTTCCCACTATGTGGTTGTCTATTTGCTCTATTGATGTTTCCTTGGCTGTGCAGAACACTAATTTAATTATCAGATCCCATTTTTTTTGATGCTGCAGGTGATTGCCTTGGGGTCTTCCTCAAAAATTCTTTGCCTAGGCCAATGTCTGATAGGGTTTCCAACATCTTCTTCCTAGGAATTCTTAGGTTCATGTCTTAAGTTTAAGTCTGTTATCCATCTTGAGTGAATTTTTGTGAGAGGTGAGAGGTAGGGATCCTGATTTGCTCTTTTGCATGAAGCTAACCAGTTTTCCCAGCACCATTTGTTGAAGAGAGATTCTTTTCCCCAATGTATATTTTTGTCAGCTTTATCAAAGATTAGATTGCCGTATACTGATGGTTTCATCTCTGGTATCTCAGATCTATTCCAGATATCTATGCTTCTGTTCTTGTGCCAGTCCCAGGCTGATTTAACTATGATTGCTTTATAGTACAGTTTGAGGTCAGGAAGACTGATGGCTCCCAGTTTGTTCTTTCTATTTAAGATTGCTTTGGTTATACGAGGTTTTTTCTGATTCCATACGAAGTGAAGAATTATTTTTTCTAGATCTGTAAAGAATGCTGATGGTATTTTCATGGGGATTGCATTGATTCTGTAGATCACTTTAGGTAATATTGACATTTTAACTATATTGATTCTACCAATCCATGAACAAGGTAGATTTTTCCATCTGTTTAAATCTTCTGCAATTTCTTTTTTTAGTGTTTCATAGTTCTTCTTATATAAATCTTTTATATCTTTCATTAAGAATACTCCTAGATATTTAATTTTCTTTGGGGCTATAGTAAAGGGTATTGCATTTTTTATTTGAGTTTCTGTTTGATGGTTCTTGGCATATATGAATGCTTCTGATTTGTGTATATTGATTTTATAACCTGACACTTTACCAAATTCGGTTATCAAGTCTAGGAGACTCTTGGAAGAGTCCATGGGGTTTTCTATGTATAATATCATATCATCGGCGAAGAGCGAGAGTTTGATTTCATCTTCCCCCACTTGAATGCCCTTAATACCCCTCTCCTGTCTAATTGCTATCGCTAGGACTTAGAGCACTATGTTAAATAGGAGAGGAGATAGTGGGCACCCCTGTCTAGTTCCGGATTGAAGGGGGAAGGATTTTAATTTTTCTCCATTTAGGATGATACTAGCAGTGGGTTTGTCATAGATGGATTTGATAAGTTTAAGGTATGAGCCATCTATGCCTATTTTGTTAAGAGTTTTATCATAAAGCTGTGTTGGACCTTGTCAAATGCTTTTTCTGCATCTATTGACAGAATCATATGGTCTTTGTTCTTGATTTTATTTATGAAGTGAATTGCATTTATAGATTTGCGTATGTTGAACCATCCTTGTATCTCTGGAATAAAGCCTACCTGGTCTTGGTGAATTATTTTTTTGATGCCTGTCTTAATTTTGGGGAAACACAGTATCTGTTATCAAATTTGGGATATTTTTCAGCCATTATTTCTTCAAATATTCTTTCTCTCCTTTATCTCTCTCCTTTCTTTCTGGAAGTCCCATTAGGTGTTTGGTATGCTTGATGGTGCCTCATGGATTGTATTCAAACTCATCATAGGCTCTGTTTATTTTTCTTCATTTTTTTTTCTTTCTGTTACTCAGACTTGATAATCTTAACTGACCTATCTTTAAATTCATTGATTCTTCTGGAAATTCACATCTATTTTTTAGCTCCTCTACTGAATTTTTTATGAGTTATTGTTCTTTTCAGCTCCACATCTCTACTTGATTTATTTTTATTTTCTTCTGTTTATTGGTAGTCTCTATTTTGTGAGTAATTATTCTCATACTTTTTTCTTATCCTTTCAAAATAATTTCCTTAGGTTCTTGAACATATTTAAGATAATTGATTTAAAAATCCTTGTCTATTAAGTCTAACATCTTGGCTTCCTAGGGGAAAGTTTCTATTGACTTCTTCTTTTCCAGTATTTGCTGCCATTCTTTCATATTTTTTTACATTTGTAATTTTTTAGATGAAAATGAGACATTTTAAATAACATAATGTGGAAAATCTGGAAATCTGGTCCCCTTTCCTCTGAGATTTATTGTTGCTGCATTTGTTAGAGTTTGTCGTTGTTTTTGTTACTACTTGTTTATCTAGTGACTTTCCTGAATGTATTCTGTAAAGTCTGTATTCCCTTTCATTTGTGGTTGGTGAAGTCTCCATTCAGTTAGGCTAGAGGATGACTAAACTGACAGAGATTTCCTTAAATACCTGGAATGAATAAGTCTTCCATCCCTTGGCAAAAGATTCACTGTGTGTTCTGTGGAAGCACCTTCAACACTGAGGCAAGCAGGTTGCAACTCTGCCTGGGCTTTCACTTCCTGCTTGTGTGGCACTGCAGGTCAGACAGAGGTGAGTCTAGAACTTTCTTGGATATGTCTTGGGCATGTGCATGGTCCTGTATATGTACATGTCCTTCTAGATTTCCAGGAATAGCCTCCTATGGACATCTCACACTCCAACTTTTCCTTTTAAGTTGTTTGTGCCAACTCTTATAACTGCCTCAGATAGCTGCAATGTTAAATAACTTTTGCTGATTATTTTTGGCAAGTGCTCCCAGAGAAAAAGCTGTTTGTACTGAATAAGGACAAGTCCTTTAGGTTGGGGTTGGGAATAACCAGACAGGTCAAATAGTGATAATTCTCTGAGATTGACTCTTTTGGGGAGCTCCAAACCCATTTTTTTTCTCTTGGGTGGCTGCTAAGCTACTGATTTTCAAAGCTGTCATGGCTGAGGGACTGCTAGTGTTCAAGGCTATCCCAGACTTGGGGAGAGAGTGATGAGATTAGGACAAATTCAAGTATCACAAAGCCTGATGTTTTACCCAAACTTGGCTCATTTTTTGAAAATAAACTCACCTTGGACTGTTGCAAGTCTTTGGTTAATTTACAGAGTACCAAAAAAGTTGATTCTGACAATTTTTGTTGATATTTTTCTTGCTTTTTATGATGGAATGGCTCTTTAGAGGTCCCTACTCCACCATTCCCACTGATGTTATTTTCCTACCCCATGTTCCCTATTGTGTTGAAATAGAATAGTTATGACCTGAAATTATTGTGTAGAAAAATCTCAACCATAAATTTTTAAAATTATTTGCAAATAAGTAAATGATTTGCATATCCATTCAGTATCTATAACTGTATTATTCTTTCCTGCCAAGTTGTTCTTTGTGCCTTTGTGGAACATAGGTTTTCTTTTTCTTCTCTGCAGCCTTCAATGGACATCTAAAGAAAATAACGACAACAAGAACTTAACAGCATTTGTTTTGTGCCAGGAACTGTCTAAAACATGTCACAAATATTAACTCATAAGAATCTATGATATAGGTGTTATTACCCTTATTGTAGACATGAAACAGTCCAGGCACAGGAAGGGTAAATGATGTACCCAAGGTTACACAGCTAGTAATAGGCAGGCTGGGATTTGGACCCAAGCAGCCTTAGCTCTTATGTCTTAGCCAGGACACCATGCTGAAAACAAATTAACCACTCTAAAGGTTGACATTTATATTTGTTTAAATGCAATGCTCTTAACTTTTGTTAGTTTTAGGGCTACAACTTCTGCTGAACAAAAGGAATCATACACATATTTTCTGTCTTCCACGTCACAGATCATTAAGGTGTCCACTGTGGAAAATACCATGAAGGAGCAACATCAGCCAATTGGTGCTATCTCAGGTGTGACAGTGTTACATGATATGGAGTAAGCATATGCCATACACATTTTTTAAAACAATAAGAAGTCAAAGGTACAGATACAAACCTTGGCATTTGAATCTTGAATCTATTCCAAGTCTTTTCACTTTATAAAGATGTATAGTGCCAGACCTATTCTGAAGCTGTGTGTAAAATTCTACATGCTGCAATGAGATTAATATTTTTTAAAGAGTGATTTTATGGAAAGTTGGCACCAGAAAATAAGGTTCTGTTTCATTATTCTGACATATAAAAGTTTATTGAGGTCACAACGTATTCTTTTTTGGAAAAAAAAATCATTAGCACATGGTGAAATACACAATTTATTGGCAAAGTCACAGTAGCACTTTTTCTGTGTAAATTTCTCACAGTCCATCCAAAATGTATTTGAGACAACTTCTAAACAGAGCTAACTGATGAATAGATTAACATGAATAAAGTTCTTCATGCTGGTCTTTAAGTTTCTAGCTCTCGAATAACATTGCTAATCATTTAGCCACATAGGGCCTGCTTTATTTTTAAAATTCCTCTATACATGCTTTGCAATCAACACTTCCCTTTCAAAGGCCTTGTTCTACCTTCTTTATTAAAACACCCTCTGTGTGACAGCTCACTGAGCGCCTTCCTACCTCCCAAGCCTGATCTCTTTAGAAGGGGGTCTACTGTGCTTCCCCCCCCCCATCAATGCTAACAGCATAATGGAGGTGTTGATATTTTTCAAACACTAAAATTGAGCAAGTCTTGAAATAACTGACCTATAGTTGATTTTGGCCAACTAAGTAATTTACAGCTTACCTTTCTGGCTTGGTGTTAACTCAGTGTAAACCTCAAGGATCTTTTGGGTAGAGAGGCAAACCTGGAAAAATATTTGTCCTTATAGGTTAAGTCAAATTTTGTACTCCCAGAGCCCCTCCCTTTGAGGAAACCCAGAAGTTTCAACATAAACTTTATTTATACAGAAGAATTATAATAAATTATACCTGAAAAGGACTTTATTATCTAGCTCAAGCTCTATCGACAAATGAGGAAACTGAGACCCAGAAAGATAATTAACTTGCACAAGTTGACACAGTTCGGTCACACCTGAAATAGAGCTGCCCAGGTTGGCTTCCTAGGGCACCTTTTGGGTCCTTCGACAGCTAGTGTTCAGGTCCCACCTAGAGAATGATGGCAGTGCCTCCACAAGATGGAGTTCCTATTGCAATAGTGCAAGGAAGGCTAAGTTCAAAGCCAGAGAAACATTGCAGTGGTTCATATTACAACAAGAAATTTAGGACAATGGGCAATGTTAGGGTTTTGAAAGCCTGTTTGTTGGAATTAGTGCGGGGATGTTAAGAGAGTACCTTTACTCCAAATTACTCATCTAATGCAAGAGCTCTTGTAGATTCCTCATGACACTAAACAATTGTATTATGCATGTTTCCTGATCAATATCATTGACCTCTGATCTACTGGTAAAAATAACTAGGAAAAGCTGTAACAGGGCAGGATGCTTGGAAAATGTTGCCATAGTGACTTTAAAATGCTAGAATAGAGGCTGGTATCCATGTAAAATAAACAGAGAACCAAGGAAATTACCTGTGTGATTCAGGCAAAAATGACAATCTGCCTAAACTCTGAATGGATTAGAGAGACAGCTGATTTATTTTGATCTGAATTCTTTGCATGGTTGGGAAAGCTGTAGGAATTTGAATTATTCAGATGATTGGTAAGGTTGTGTAATAAGCCAGGGGATGATCCACGTTCTTGCAAAAATAGTGGAGGAAAGCACCATAGCCTTACACTTTTCATTCATTCATTCATTCATTCATTCATTCATTCATTCATTCATTCATTCAACATATAATTGTAAAGCACTTATTATGTGATGTGCTAGCAAAGGTTTAACAACTGACTGAGTGGAGGTGGAAAGGAACCCTGATTTGTAGCATTTGCTCATTCCCATGGTGTAAATAGTTCTGCCATGACCAATCTCAAGCTACCAACATGAAATCATGGAACACAGAGTTGGGATGAGATACACATAGCACACTGTTAAGTGGTATTTCCAACTATACATACAATAGATATCAATAACCTCCAGACCATAGATAACAAAATGTAGTAAAATAATTAGGAAATTATGATTTTTCAGTATTTATTATCTTTGTTTTTTAAATATAATTTAACTGTAAGTTGCTATAGTTTAATTTTTAATAATGGCTGTTTGACAGCCAGCTTACAAGATTCCTAGGAGTTCACCAATCATCTCTCGTGAGCCAGCATGAGTGGGCCCCAGCACACCACTGCTGTTAGGTTGAGACACTGTGCTACATGCTGGTGACCATGGTGTGAAGATGCATTTCCTGTCCTTATGGAGAGTGCTGTCTAGTGAGACAGACAGATTAAAGATATATATTATTTAATTTGAAATAGCAATGGGTATTATAAAAGGGAAGTTATAAAATGGATGATTCCAAGCAGGAAGCCCAGCCTTTTGTTGGGGGTTCGGGTGGGGAAGACAACATTCCTGAGGGAATGACATTTAAAGCATGGCTGGAAGGATGAGTAAGAGGCCAAGGTCAAGACAAGAAAAATGAACGAAGCATTCCAGAGGAGGAAAGAGCTGACCCAATCACCCTGTGTCAGCAAGGCCTTGATGTAGACAGTAGAGACCAAGGGAGAGAGTGGCAAGTTGGCTGAGGTGGTTCACAGGCAGATCACATGTGACCTCTTAGGTCCTCTTAAGGGTTTTGGTCTTTCCTAAGAGAATGGAGCAAGTATTGAATGGTTTAAGTGGGAGCAAGGAGTTGACAAATTTATATTCATGTGTAAGATTACTTCGTCTGCTGAGGGGAAGAATAGATTTCAGGCAGCAATAGTGGAAATAGCTTCATTAAAGAAGCTATTGCAGTGTTTCAGGGGTAAGAGGGTAGTCATTTGGATTAAGTTGTTGGCAACAGAGAAAGAGAAATAGATGAAAGATCCGCTTTGAAGACAAACCTGACAAGATCCGTCATGGAAGAGGAAGTTCACAGTCACCAATATCCATGTTTTTTCTTCTATTCTAGGGCACATAACTTAAATACATTCTCCAACCTTCTTTGAAGGTAGGTGGAGCCCTGTGACTGAATCCTGACCAGTGCATGCAATGAATGCTATGCACAATGATTCCAGACCAGTTCCATAAAAATCTCCCCTATGGAATCCTTCCTTCTTTTATACCTTCCACAGTGATTTTGGAGGCCATGTGCTAAACATGGCAGGCCCACAGTGCGGAAGGAGCCTTGGACTTTGAGCCACTGTTCTGAGAGCTGTCCTACGTATAGTGGAGAGCTACATATGCAATAAATCAATTTTGTGGTGTTAACCCACAGAGATTTGCATAGGGTGGGGATGAATGGTTGATTTGGGGGATTGATTAGACATGGAGAGTAATAGGAGGAATAGGTAACAAAGACAGCCATGGATTTCCAGCATGAGCAACTGTGTGAATGGAGAAGCCATTTACGGTTATGTGGAATACTGGAGAGGAAGGGAGATTATGAATTTTTCCCTCAATGTATTTAATTTGAGATCCCTGTAGAACAACAAAAGGCAAATATTGAGGCAGCAGATGAATATAAGAATCTCAAAGGAGCGCTATCGCCACATGAACATGGCTGCCACTCTGCATGAGCTCAGTAGTCTTTGTGGTTGTTGCTCCATAGAGTTATATGTGCACAGCCTGCAGGACTTTATGGAGATGACATGAAAAGCCATGAGAGAGGAAGAAATCTTCTAAAAGGAGAAGATACAGTAAGAAAAATTTCAAGAATACAATCTTAAAAGCTCTCTAATATTTAAAAGTAAGGTATAGAATGAGGTGTTCCAAAATAGCCTGAGCAGATAGTGCCAACAAGGTAGGAGGGAATGGTGTTAGAACAGCTGTGTATTAATATTAATAGTTAGCTCAGACTGCCATAAAAACTTTTTGAGGTTTTGGAGACTGGGATGTCTAAGATCAAGGTGCTGGCAAGATAGGTTTAATTCTCAGACCTCTTTTCTCTTGACTTGTAGGCAGCCACTATCTCACTGCTTGCTCACATGACCTCTATTTTATGTGTGCAGAGAGGGAGAACAAGCTGTCTGGTGACTCTTCTTATAAGGGCACTAATCCCATCATGAGGACCCCACCCTTGTGATCTCATCTAACCCTAAATACCTCCCAAATGCCTATCTGGGGATTAGGGCTTTAACGTATGAATTTGGAGGGAGCATGAATATTCAGTCCATAACAAAGACAAGCAAAACAGTTCTTCAAGAAAGAGGTCAACTATGCTGAAAGCTGAGAAGTGGTTAAGAAAGATGAGTACTGAAATTGACCATTGGATTTAACCACACAGCAGTCATAGGAAGTTGTAGTAAAAGCAACTTTAGTGAAGTGGTGGGAATGAAAACCAACTCAGAGTTCATTGACAAAGGGATGTGGTATAAGGATGTGGAGAAGTTTGGCTGTGAAAAGAAAGAAAAGAAAGACTGGAGTGGTTAGGAGGACATAGAGGATTTTTGGTTTGGGTTATTTTTTACTTGGTATAGAATGTTTGAACACTCCAGTAGTGAGGAGGAGATAGGATCATGGAATTGCCCCAGGGAATATGCCTAAAAGCCAGAAAATATATTTTCTCTAAACAAAATGTCCTATCCTAGACAAAGCCCAAGAGTAAAAAAAAGAAATCAATTCCTTAAGCATTTTGACAGGGACTGGAAGCCCTGCAAAATCGCTAGAGGACTTGCTCCTTTCCAAAGAGTATTTTCTTTGAAACGTTCTATGCTATTAAGTCATATCTGAACTTTTCAAGAAAAGGTTTTGCTGGAAATCAAAAGGTATTGCTCAATGGTAGGTATGTTCCCAATCCCTGAGTAATTGCAGTATAATCCTGAAGGGTTTTAATGAATTCCCTCTTGGATTTTTGTTTTGGTTTGGTTGTGGTTTCATGGGGTCAACTTAAAATCTAGATTTATATCTCTTCTCATCTAAATTGTTACATACGCACAGTAGTCCAATGAAAGCACGTTAAAATCACTTTTAAGAGGATCTGCACTTATAGACTGTAGGAGTTTAGGCCAGGATTAACCTAAAGGAATTTTTGTACTCATAAAAGATGGTTTGCTAAAGGCCTGCTAGTATCCCCACAAGAAAGAATGCAACATGTTGTACCACATTCATTTTGTATTTGGATGTTGGAATCCCCTCTTGTTCATCCCTTTAAATCTCACTTGCCATATTTTAAAAGTTGACAAATTCTGTGTCATTATCCTTCCTTTTTTCCCCTTCACTATTATGACTCCACTTCAGGCTCTCACTACCGCTCACTTGAGTAGATACCATGTCTTGATTTTTTTCTGTAATATATGAAACATTCTGAGTAGCGTGTGCATGATAGAGTGCATATACTACCAGTATCACACTAGTGCACACACTAGTATCATTTACCCTGAGAGCCCTACTTTTCTGAGTGACTTGACATTTTTGCCAAGTGCATCCAATGAGTGTGCTAGAGGACATCATGTCTTCACCTTAATCATTTGCGTGACAGTGTTGGGATGTACAATAGTGGTATATGTTTGCTGTCCGTAAGTGTTTTAAACTTAACTGAGGAAAACCAGACCTGCTGTTGAAGGAGCTCCTGGCTGCCAATTCCACTCACGAGAAATCGTTGCAGCAAAAGTTAGGGGTGTGACTAACACTTCAAGTCATGTTGAGAAGAAGGCTATCATAACTCAATCAAACAATTCTTTCTCTGGAAAATAACCAAGCATTATTGATCCTTGATATTTATAGGATTATCACATCTAAGACTATGCAATTTACAAAGCTCAATTTCAAGAATTGCTACTCTTCATTTTCTGATATTGACATTGAGGTACATATACTGCTGTTTTGCCATATAAAAAAAAATCACACAGAAATCAGTGCTTAAAACCAACAAAAATTCCCTTTCTGCAGGTTAGCTAGGCTGAAGTAGGTGGTTCTTCTGCTCCATGTGCTCTTGGCTAAGGCCACTCATAAGGTTGCAGGCATCTGGGTGCTTGCCTGGGCTGGAATAACCAATCTGCCTTCCTGATATATCTAGGACTTTGGTTTGGTGCTGGTTATCAAGTTGGGTGCTTCATTTCTTCTGCACTTGGCCTCTCTCTCCAAATAGTTGCTCATTATTCATTAAAAAATCCAAACTTCCTACAAGGTAGCAGGCTTCCAAGTGAGAAAAAGTAAAAGCCGACAGGCCTCTTAAGGTCTAGGTCTAGAAGTAGCACAAAGTCACTTTTGCTGCATTGTATTGAGCAAGTCCAGCCTAGATAGAGGGGAAAAGGAAGTATCTCCACCTGTTGAAGTGTGGAATGTCATGTATGGACAGGGATAGCAGACACAAGGCTGGTCACATCTTTGCCGATAGTTACTGCATCTACTATTAGGCCTTAAGTTTATGAAACCCCAGTTAATTTCTCTTTCACTAGGCATGAATATTTTAGTGATTTAATCAAAAAGGAGTATGAAATTAAATTCTAAAATGGATTGTCTATCATGACTCAACAAAGAGAGAATTTGCTCAGTATCCTTTGACTTGACAAGATGCTTAGCTATCATGAGATTGTCACTGAAGATCTCTCAGTGTCTATCCATTTATTAAGGGCACAAAACCTCTGCCATGGTGGATCATAAACAAAGCATTGTTTTATAAGCAGTTTAAATTCAGTGGATTTTTTTTTTTTGCAATAAGCCATAGTACCAACAAACATAAATAAATATTCCATTATCTTTAAGGGATAGTCAACTGGAAAATTTTATGAGTCTGTTATTCTAAAACCTTGTATGAATATGTACTCAGGATTGCTTTCAAATTTAAGCTTAGATATTTTAGATAATGCCTTTTTTTCCTGCCTACTTTTAGTTTGACTTCAAATAATTGGAAATCTTTTCAAGACAGAGAGTTATCTTATGCAAAGAATGGACATTATGTCAGTATTTCCTGTTAGAAAGAAAAAAAGATTAGATTAGTTGTCTATGTCATTGTCTCATGATTAGGTTTTAACAATTTTTTTCCTTTTTTTTTTTTTCCTTCAGATTAGGACAAGACTTAGCCAAGTCACTAATAACTAAAGGAAAATGTTTGGACGTAAGAGCTTCAATCAATGCTTGGGATTTCAAAACCATCTGAGAACTCTTAGGATAAGTTTTGCAAAATGCAAGGCATAAATACTTTCATAATTAACCTACAGGGATTTGGAAAAGAGAATTTTGTGTGAGGAGGAGGCTAGTGCAGTTACTGGGGTAGACTTCCCTGTACCACATAGGGAACATGCAACAACTCAGCTCTTGCAGGTGACAGCGGTTACAGATCACTGAAAATCTATTCTGAACCAACTGATCTACTGGGTACTATATATACATTATCTCATAGTAATTCATTGGCTATTACACCATATTACAGATAAAGAAATTAAGGCTCAGGGATGTTAATTGTTATGCCCAAATATCCTGCAGCAAGAGTCAAAGCTTGGATTCATAAATAATAAATTTACTGACCATAAGTTCAGAGCGATTTAAATTGTGCTGTACTGTCCTCCAAACCACAAATGAATTATAAGGTTATAAGTTTTTTCCCAAATATCTCTTATTTCCATTCTCACTTTTCAGTCTTTTAGATTCAGTTCAAATTCTCGTTCAGGCCCATTTTCTTTATCTTTCCTCTTTAAGCTTAGGTTCAAATGAGGCTTTCAAACAGAGCCAGGTAGAGAAAAATCTTGGTGGTACACAGGGGAAAAATCTGCTTTTCCAATTTCTGATTTTCTGGGATGGATCTTGTGATTTTCCTCAAAGCTTTTGTCTTTAGCATGGTGACATTTGGAGCTTGAGGGTGTCCAAGATTTCTGCATTCAATGTGCTGCCTACATTCTTAACACCCCTTCACACAGAACCTCAGAACAACTGAAGGAGCAACCCATACATATAACCTCGAAGACCAAGCACTAAGTTCCTTGAACATGATAAGGATCTCCAGACAGTTCTCATATCAAATCACTAACCCTTCGGCAGCTCCTACCCCAAGAGGAATTTGCAACAGGCACC